GAGCTGAGCCAGAAGGACCAGACCATTACCCACCTGTCTGAAGATGTCACAGACATCACAGTAATTTACTCTTCTACATATTTGACCCTTGATTTGTCTTAAATAACTTGATGACATACCACATGTTCACATACCACATATTCACATAATGTTTAAATCAGTTCAGGAATGTTTTTAAATTCTGTTGTTCTTCCTCTTCCAGGCTAAGTACAATGCTGCCTGCCTTGAAAGGGAGGATATGAAGGAACAAAACTCTAAGATGCAAACAGAAATGTGTGACATGAAAGAAACGTTAGACAGAAGTGTGGCATCCAACAAGATAGAGGTATGTTCCGTCATATTAAACAACTCTGTTCACACATGGGTTTTCATAGATTTTAGAAGGTAATTGTCATTATGTCTCTTGTGCACAACAAAACCTAATAAAGCTACAATGCGCATGATTTTGTCTTGATGTCTGTCCACAGGTTGAGGTTTTGCAGGAGGAGGTTACTTATGCCACTGAGGAGGTTGAAAGACTCACTAAGGTCTTAGATGATCAGAACAGCCTCCTCCAAGCATCTCAAGAGCAAACCGCGCAGAAAGATGTCATGATACAGAATCTGCAGCAGAAGGTTAGCCTTAATTGTCTCAATACAGAACAAATGCCCAGAATAATCCAGGTAAATCCTAAGGATGATTTCTCATTAAAATTACTAATAAGATAAATTCTCCTTTTGAACCAGGTGCAACAACAGCAAGAAGTTGTTGAGAAAACAATCAGAAATGGAAGTTTCAAACCCCTTGTTGAGACGACAGTCACACCTAAATCATTACCTCGGGTAAAACCTGTTTATCATTTTAGTTATTGTTCAGATATGACTGAACGTCTGCCTTTGCATCTGTCTTAATTGATTTTTTTAGTTTGCAGCATCAAGTGTTTATGTCTTGTTTTTCTCTGCCTCTAAAGATGCCTCACACTCCAGGCAGCTTCAGCAGGGATCTGAACCAGGTGCTCGAGAATCAGGAGAGGGAGCTGGAGAATCGACGCTCCTCCATGATGACCATGGAGATTCTCTTAGCAGAGCTGAATGCTGAGAGAGCTGCCAAGAATGAAGAGATCCAAAGGCTGAAGGTGATGTAGCCATTCAAATGTAGATGGAAATGTTTATAGCAGACTCTAGTGTATTTGTTTTCTATTTTAGCCAAATTTCATACATTACAGTTCATTTGAATTCCATAAAGTTTTTAATTGAATCACTACATTAAATTGCTATGGGTCTGTTTTTTAGTGCACGCAATAGTTTTAATGGTGTTAATGTCTGTGATTACATCAATAATCATTTATAATCTATATTGACTGTTTTTAGACGCAGCTCACTGAGAAAGAGATGGTCCGGATGGAAATCCAGGCCTTGCTTGACAAGTTTTATACCAAGCAGAGTCAGCTGACACACAATGGAAATGATCAGTTCAGTTTATTCATCCTGTTTTTCAGACATCTATTACACCTTAAATGCATCAGATCACCAGTTGTTGTTGTCACAAGGAAAACTAACGTGTTTTTTCCATATTTGTAGTGAGGACCTTAATGATGCCATTAAACAGTCTATTCATAAAGAGCTGCAGGAGGAGCGAGCTGAGAAGGTTTGCATCTGTCTTCCTGCTTATTTTAATCTTTTTTTTCCTGAATGAACAGTTAATTCAATGTGTCCCTCTGTCTTATTGATTAACAGAGACACATATTGCAGACGCTGACCAATACTCAAAAAAAGTAAGTCCATGTGTGGAGGGGTTAAGTATAGTAGGTTAAAACATTTTTGTAACTGTATGTTAATCTTATCCTTCATTCATTCTTAATGATCGATAACCATCTTTTCTGTTCATGTTGTGGAACAGACTGCAGGCGCAGGAGTCCATGTTGGCTCAGTCTCAGACCTGCGTTCAGGAGCTGACCTCTGAGCTGAGGAATCGTTGTTTAGAGCTGAGAGAGCTGAGCCAGCGGATACAGGACGACGAGAAACTTTTACAGGTGGGACTGGATTTTTCTCCACTTGTGTTGAGTTGATGGTACAACATTTTAATCTTGAGCTAAATATCTGTAAGATAGCTTGAGAAAACTTTAGTCAACCTGAAGAAACTTCAAATCAGGTGAAAAAACATCATCACTGCCATCTTTGCTATTTGAGGACAATAACTTAAAGACTTAATTGTGTGTTTTAACTTTCTTTAACTTTTTAAGAAGTATGTTTATTCACTTCAACCAAAAATAAAAATGTACTGACAGATGTGTTCAGGGGAAGAAGGCAGTCAAAAGGCAAACACTACTCATTTATTCAGCTGTTATTTAAATGTATCATTTCATGATTCAATGTTTCAGCGTGTCTGATGACAGGTTACTTCTTACTTATCATTTAAGATTTCAAATTGCTTAAATATCAATGAATTGGAAAGACAAGAGCAAACACAAGGTCCTCTGGCCCTGTCAGGGCATTTTTTAAAATTTTCAGTTAAGATTTGACAACATATGGAGAGGAAACCCTATATTTAAAAATATATATATATTGATTTGTATAAGACCAGAGTAAATTAAAAGACCAGGAGACACTTTAATTTGAGCAGTGTGACATTCACATTAAAAATGAATGGGCTTGTTTACACTAAGGTTTCATAACAACAGCCAAACAAACAGGCAACGTTATCTGACTTTACTGATCATATGTTCTTTGTTACAGGAGAATGAGCTTCTCCGTAAGCAGAACGTGAAGCTGTCGGAGGAGAATGGAAAACTTGTTGGACATAAGAACCACAAACAGAGGATTGAATATCTGGTGAAGCTAAAAAAGGACAACACGAAACTTCAAGAGGTAACTAACTTTTCTCTCGTTAAAGGATGTTTCTTTGTGGTCATTTTAAAACTGTTCATTCATCACAACAATCAATTTTTTTTTGTTTTAAAGGAAAACGAAAGGCTCCGAACAGAGAATAGCTTGATGCGAGAAAGCGGATGTCCACCGCCGGAGATCTTGCAAATACCTCATCTCTGAGAGTTTGAACAGAGGTGAACCTGTCAGAATCAAAAGTGGTTTTCTTTTTAAAATGCTATTTTCCCTTTTTTTTTTTAACTCTTCAATATATTAATGGTTTTAAGTACAAAGACATTGTGATTCGTGATTTTTATAATCTTGTTTTTTTCATTCAGGAAAAGTGTTCAGGTTATTACATCTCTTACCTCTTTTGCCTCGAGGCACATTCTACCTTTTTCACTTTTCTTGGTCTTCTTGGGCTGCTTAGGATGAACTACACATTGTTCACAGACTACATTGGAACAGAAACAATGCAGAATTACACCTCAATGTGAAAACTGGACATTTTACATGTTCAGAATATTTTTGGTGCTTATTTCTTATTTCTGATGCTGTGACTGTGATGTTTGTGAAGTTGTATCCACTGTTTAATGTTTTCATGTACTTTTCCATCATACTGAGCCATAGAGCTAATGTCTTTGAACATACTGTAATTAAAATATTTTTCTATCTAGAAGCTTCAATTTGTCGCATCTTATTTATTTGAAAATCCTGAACAGTTCAAGAAAAAGGTTATTTCCATTATTGTTTCAAAGAGATGAAGATGTCTTCAAGCTGTCTTAACTTGTCAGCCCAGAAGGAAATGCTTGGCATTATCTGATTAGTAGTTTTTTGTCTATTCTAGTTAAACAATGAATCATTTCCATTTCAATGTGTTTCTGTGGATTTTCACGGTTTTTAGTCCAGCCGCCAGGGGGCGAGCTGAGCGTGTTCACCTGCCTCTCGCCTCAGTCAAGCCGAGCTGACACGAGGCGGTGGAAGAAGCGCGGTGGTTTGGTTTTAGACAGCGGAGACAACATGAAGAAAGTTTTCACCGCCGAGCAGATTTCAGACTGGTTCACCTCGGGGGCCACGTTTGCGAACATTAAGCTCACAGAGGAAGCGACTGTGAAGAAGCTCGAGCCAGCGGCCGAAGAGCCCAGGTGAGGTTCAAGTTAGCTTCAAGCTAGCTAGCCTCGTGCTAGCTAGCTTTCAGCACGTGTCGGTTGTTTTCTCGCTCAGACACAAACATGTTAAACTCGACAGGTCAAAGGATGACGACCTGTGAATTCACAGTTTCATCTGATAGTTGCTGTGAAAACTATCTGAGCTGCGTCATTAACAAGCTAAGAGCTGCTGCTGTTGAGGTGACACCCCCCAACACCCGCGCGTCCGTGAGGTTTTTGGCGGCTACGAGCTCTGCAGTGAAGGAACACAGATCTTATCTCACCAGTGTTCGACGTGAATGAGTTTTTAGAAATCAGATTTAAGTACTTTCCAAATGTTTGTCAAAAACTCTTGAGTTAAGGTGTATTATTTTAAAGGCTCTCCATCGGAAAACTGATGATTGTGATAAACATAGTTCTTCATTTACTGCCTATGAAGCATCACAGGAGATATATATATATATATTATAATATATTTTTTTGGGGGGGGGGGGGATATAATATATATATTTTAAACTGTCAGGTTTAAATATTCCTCCTCTTACCCTCACAGAGAAGAAACATTTCAATTTTTTGGGGTGTTATTATTCACTAAATGAGAATAACAACATCCCAAATACATTGAATAAAAAAGAGTGTTATTAGACAATTAAAAAAAAACAAACAAACCTGTTTTTAGAATTTAAAATCTTTCCAGAATACTACCTAGGTGTTCTCCAATTAAGGGTATAACAGTAGAAGATGATGACTGCTCTTGGTTGCTACCAAATCAAACCTCACAGGCATGACTGCAAACCTGGATGTTTTGGGACATTTCAAGGATCACAGGATAATTATCAAGATTTAAATAAGACAAGCAAATGTATGCTACTCAAATTATTTTTATTCTGTCTCATATTTTGATTTTTTATCAGCTTTTTGACAGTTCAGCATCCATAGAGCTCTAAAACAGTTCAGACGAAAAAGGAGAATATCGAACTGTGCTTTAACTTCTCAAAAACATGTTCAGTCTGTGATGAGCGCTGCAGGTACACACTGCTTCCATTTGGTCCAGGTACAATTGGTCTAGGTTGTGCATGTTCTCACATACTGTGCCCACATAATACCTCTCAGACAAGCTAACAATGTACCTTTTGAAACACAGCCTAATCTCTACAAAGACAAATTTAGGGTCGTAATAAAGACATCAAAAAAGGGTCCGAATAATGGGATCATACAGAGGAGGCAGGCAAGAAAAACCAGTGTTCTCACAAACCCATTTTTAACGTGTTGGTTGTGTTAATGTGGTTTGATGTGTCCTTTCACAGTGTAGTGCTGTATGTCCCATTGGGCCTGAGAGATGCTGGATAGTAATATGGAAGCTCCCAGTCGCTGTAAGCTGTGAAAGAACTGGAGTGCCGCATGGCCCAGTCCACATATCCAGAGATTGTTGGGATCTCCTCCCTTGAGCAGTCACCACAGTTGGGGATGGTAGTCGTGACAAAGCCCTGCCTCATTTTATAGCGGCTTGTCCAAGCCTCCATTGGTCGGCGCTGTGCTGACTGACCTGAGAAGTCGTACTCTTCATCATATTGCTTATGGTTCACAAAGTCTCTCAGCACCTGCTTGAAGACAGACACCAGCTCCCAGGGCCTAATGTTGTTGGTGGCAAGCACCTCACGAAACCTGCGGAAGGAAGCACCAAGATAGTAAATTAAACAGTAGTTCGAATTGCAAGGATTAGCATGAGCTTCCCACAATTTTCAGCATTAATTATTATCATAATTATAATAATGATAATATAATTATGACATTTCACCCATCATCAAGTGAGATACCTGTATGCTAGTCCTCTGTTTGTCAGTCTTGAAACTACAAGCACAGATGTGTGGAAATGGTACAAACATATCTTATTTAAATTGTATTCTTTGGTAATTTGGTTATGTAAGCACCTTCCAGTGACCTAGATGTGAGTTTTATGGGGAGTAAAAGTAAGTAGGTCACAGTGTTCGACCATGTAGAACTACTCCAACCTTCTTTAAATATAATTGCTAACATAGAGATGATGAGAAGAAACCCCGGCAGTCTGCCTGCGCTCAGCTTTATAGGGCATCCTTCACCTTCACATGTTCACACCCTCTATCCCCTGCCTCTGTGACAGTAACACATAATGGCTTTCTTGGCAGCTCGCCCTGCCTCCCTTTTCCTTTGGGTCTTCTCTGCTTTGCCTGCTGTCAGGGCTTGTGTTGAGGCAGTAGCAGTTAGCCACTGTTGACAGCATGCTAATGTAAGGATAGAGCATGACGTGTCCGCTAATAAACACCTGGAAAGGACTGCGGCTGCATGGATGGGTGGTATCTGGGCACACAGGAACTCTAGCTGGTAAAGCTCTGATGTGGGGATGAGAGTCCGTAACCGATGGTACTTCTGGAACCACTGGAGACCCGGAGAGCTGTGGGCCAACCTGTGCTCGCGCTCCAATTCCCGTGCCAGTTGTTCACGTTCCTCCACATGCCACAGGAGCTCTCTGATCAACCTGCGGCTGGGCACAACCTCTAAAGTCTTAAGAGGTGGCGCTTCATTCTGAGTCTGCACTTTTGTCTCATGAGACCACTTCATCCAGCTGAACAGGGGCATGGCACTCACAGCAGAGCGTCAAGAAGACTGAAAAAACAAGAGTTCTTTGTTATTGTGGACCCTGAAGGTATTTACACAGCAGTGAGGCTAGTTTCCTTCTAAAGCTGCTTTCAGACAGGAACTGACCACCAAACATTTTCATGAAAATTTTTGATAGGGGCTGTATGTGAGCTTAAGAAATCTTTCAGAATTTTTCTTGCCAGCATCTTAGTGAAATAACTCGATGTCAGTGTCGATGTGCTGCAAACAAAGACTTTTCCGCAGGGGAAAAATCACAACCTTAATTCTAAGCATGTGTTGCCCTATTATATTTAAAAATTTCAGGTTGACAGTGAAAAATGATCACCCTATAACTAAGCTGACCTCTGGTCTCTGCCTGGTGGCTGCTTTGATTGCCTTCAGTTAAAGTCAAATTTAGTAGAGCACAATGTCGCAGGTGTTTGTATCTGGCTCCTCTTTCTTTCAAGATGATGGATTCAACATGGCTTCCACCTGGGATTTAGATGGATCACACAGCATGCAGGGTCACAGGTCAACTTCCTCTATCCATTGTGAGGTTACACAACATTCCTTCTTTGGTGTCTGATTTGATTCCTGCTCTAAAAGCTCCAAAAATAATCAGGACTTAAACAACAGTGAGTCTCTCAGCATGTGCAGGTCAGAATTAATCACACTAACATCTGGATGAAAATGGAAAATACATATTTGTACTTACAGCTGAAAACGGCTCCACCAACGCTTTGTGAGGTATTCAGGAGTAGGGTAAGAATGAGCGTAGTCCTCTGCTTTTTGTCTCTATGGTTCACTCCTTGTAGACGTCATTCTTTCAATGTTGACCGCGTCCCTCGTGTTGAATGCACATCACTTGTGTGTCGGCAGCAATCCTCCGATGTCTTGACTCCTGAAGCAGTTTTTCCTCTTTCTGTTGTAGTTATGGTCTTGTCCGTATCCCTCCCACTGCTCTTGCCACACAGACTTTTTCCAAGAGAGTTAGTCACACACCACTAACTGACTAAGAGCTGTCACTTCTCCTCTCCCTTCACTCCGCTCTCCTCTGTGCAGTGTGCAGCTTTGTTGTAAGGTCAGCTGCTTTGTAGCTTGCACGAAAGGATTGCATTGGAGAGAAAGGGAGAGGGCAAGAGTGCATGTGTGTGCATAAGCCGCATGTGTGTTATATTTGAGCTCCTCTGTCAGAGTTTGTGCCTGCTGTTGCGATAAGAATTCTCCTTGTGAAGAAAAGGGGACGGGCAGAGACAACAGGGAATGCTCTCCAGGCTCCAGAGCTGCAGGCTGGGTCGAGTTGACCAGAGGGAAAGACGAGAGGAGGCACAGACTTAGAGCAGGGTTAGACATGACATTAAGACATAAAGTTTGTAGCTGCTGGCATTGTCATTCTCTTTGTGAACCTAGAGCTGAAGTTAATTATAAACTGTTAAATTCAGATTAAGTCATTTGTAAGTGATCATAAAAGTGCTAACCTGTGGATTAGCATGAAGTGTTGCAGTACACATCTAGCTGAGGTGACTACTACACCTGAGTGTTCTGCAACACTTCTTGTAGCTTAGTTTATAACAACTGATAAATTGTAATACATTAATTTTGCTGCATGTAATTGCATCAGAAGCTCAAATGGCATACTACAGTGAAAACCTCCACCAAGGCCCAACAGTCCCTTTATGAAACAAAATTAAAATTCAGTAGATACAAATTTTTGTATAATTCCCTGGGAAAATGTTGAAAAACGCTCAATTTAACAATGAGAAAATTAAAAAGAAAAATCTTGATCCACCCCTGATCTGCACCATATTTCATTGGGTTCTTCCCTGACCCATACCTCATCTTCGCAATTCATTTTGTGGAAATTCGTTGACTTCTTTTCATGTGACTTTGCTTAAAATCAAACCAGCCAACAAACAGACAGTTAAAAACATAACCTCCTCGGTGGAGGTAATAAAACATGGCACTGATGCACTGATCTAAAATATTTTCCAGAATCTTAAAGGGAATTTATTTAAGCTGCTTTAAGGCTTGGCCTCTAATTTTAGCCTGGTCTTACCCGTATATGCCACAAAATCTTTTTTATTTTTTCAGTAGCTGCATGTTTCCTCTGTTTCTCCTCTTTGAAACATTTGCAGTTAAGCTTTTTCAGATAAAGCTGAAGAATGTTTACACTATGTTTTCATCCTATCCAGACTGAATGAAGATGGAGTGTTGTCCATCATATATAAACAGGACACTTGTCCCATTTGAGCAGAACTGCTGTTTAGTTGGTGAAAACATTATCACCCATGGTATCTTATTTTAAGTCATTATTTATATCACAAAATAAGCTGCTTAAAATGTATTTTATTTCTCTTCAGGCCATCAGAGGTTCCTGATGAGAGCAGCCCGAAGACCGTGAACTCCGGAGGGAGTCTCCAAAAACCTGATGGGAGTGAGTATTCAACTTTCTGTTAAATTTTCCTGATCTTAAGTCTTGTGAAGTCTGAAATGACCTTCGATAGACTGTTGAACACAGTATTTCTCATGCCTTTTATTATGAATCCTCAGGTACTGCTCCTCCTCCACTCCCCAGCTATCAGTACCCGAGTTTGCCCATAACCAAAAACAGAATGGAGGTCTGTTGCATTCAAATATACAACCTTAAGTTCTATTAGAGCATGGCCATTCTGTAGTTCTTGTCCCTATGTATTGTCCCTATGTCCTCGGGACACTGGTATTTTTAAGCTTTTACTTTTTACTCAAGATGTACTCAGCGATTCATGATGCTGCAGGACAAGTCCTAACTTAATATTCACTGGGCAAAAAAATGTCTCTTCTCTAATACAGAGCGCTGTTTTTATATTTTAGGAGGTCAGGCTGTCATTTAAGCTGCACTTCCTTAATACAGATTATAAAGTGGACTTTTGGTTACAAATCAGCTTAGCACATCCATCTGCTCTACAATATCTTAACTTAAATTCCTTTTTTGATTTCAGTGATATGGTCCAAATGCGGTCTCTTTTTGTTAACAGTACGTTTGTGCATGTGTGTCTGCTTCCAGCTGATTTCCCTCATAGAAAACAACTCTGTAGTGATTATTCGCGGAGCCACAGGCAGTGGCAAGACCACCCAGCTGCCACAGTACATTCTGGATCACTACAACGCCAAAAACGGCTCATGCAACATCGTGGTCACCCAACCTCGCAAGATTGGGGCCACGAGTATTGCCCGATGGGTTGCCACACAGCGGAAGTGTACCCTGGGTAGCTTAGTGGGATATCAGGTTTGTGTCTCAATTAGACAGAATGTGGTTTGCTTGAACTGTAAAGTGCAAATAGCCCATGTATGTTTTTAGTTTGCATCCCTTTTAGCTTAAAATTGAGATTTGTAAGCATTTGTTAACAAGCTCTTTTGTGTTTGTTGTCAGGGTATCTGGCTTTAATATGCAGAGCTCTGAAACAGTGTCTAATAACTGTTTCCTCTGCTCTTTGAAGACCTGAGTTATTATGTCCCTGATAGTGGGAGCAATAACAGACAGATGATGTCAGGTTAAGCTCTAAAAAGTTATGTTGTGTTCTTTATTCACTTATGTGATTTTTACTCTGTTTGCTGTAAGGAAAGAGCTTTTTTCTTGTTCCCCCTTCGTATGTTTTGTCTTGGTTTATGAAAGTCGTGCAATCGGTGAATGGAAAGTTCTTTGTGCTCAGAAATGACTCAGCGAACCGTGAAGTTTCCCTGAGGTCACACACAGGATTGTAATGGATTTTATCTGAGGTCACTGGTATTTTCCCTAAAACCAACCACAAATAGGCTTGTTAAAGCTGCAGACAAATGGGAGACGATGGAATGTCTTGAATTTGCTTCTGTGAAAAATATCAAACCAAAGACTGTGGGGTTGTATGATGCTTTAATTCAATTTAAAAAGTATTAAAGCTGATGGTACAGAAACTGACAAATTATATCGCTCTGCACAAAGTGGGTGGCCATCATTACATGGTGCTGCTAAAAACATTATAAGCTTGTCAGATGTCAAGTGTCAGTGATGCTTTACTAAAGTAACAAGTCTGCATCCCTACTGAGAGTGTCAGAAATAGTATTCATATGTCTTTCAGATTAATGAATGTAACTCTGATTGTTTGAACTACAGGTTGGACTGGAGAAGATGGCGACTGAGCACACTCGCCTCATCTACATGACGACAGGAGTGCTGCTGCAAAAACTGGTTTCTGCCAAGTGCCTAACAGAGTACTCGCACATCTTCTTGGATGAGGTGAAGATCATAAAGTTTAGAGGGGAATGGAGGATGAGTTTTGGTGGAGTAACCGGACACGCAAACAGACAAATGCACAAACCACTCTCCAATTATCATTGTGGGATATGTTGCCTCCTGTCTAAAAACCTATACTTTTATATTCTGCTGTAATTTTGTTTCATTATAGTTTGTCTACATTTAATGCTGCTGCAGTGGAAAGGCTTAATCTTTGCATAATTTTTTTCTAATTAGTGGTTCTTGACTGTTGTGTCCAATTGTAACTGTTAGACAAATCTGCCTTTGCCCAAGGTTCACGAGCGTACTGAGGAGATGGACTTTCTCTTACTGGTTTTGAGGAAACTCCTTCATTCCAACTCTCGTTATGTCAAGGTAATCACTATATCAAAGTAAACCTCCCTTTTCTGTACTCATCAATCAATTACACTCATTTTAAGTTGTCTTTTTCCAGATCATCCTCATGTCAGCCACCATTAACTGCACACAGTTTGCTGAGTACTTCGGCACCCTGATTCGTGGCAAGATGAACCCAGCGTATGTGTTTGAAGTGGAGGGGGCACCCTTCGTTATTGAGGAGTTTTATCTGGATGACCTCCACAACCTGTTACCATACAAGGTAATAAGATTGTAATAGTTTGCTGATGCAACGGCTCTGTGCTGTGAGTCCAAACCAGTTATATTATTGATATTTGATATGAAATCAAATCAATATCACGATTATTTCAAACTTTTAGCTCAATTACAATTAATGAACAGTGGTTTTATAACCCCCTTGCCCAGTGGACGCATCACTCAGATGTTGGACACACTCCTGCGTGTGTGTTTATCCACGTCCCTGTCGTGCCTCACTCACACTGAATGTTATTAATTTGATTAAACCGTCTTATTAATCGATGATGTTGGATCATGAATGTGGATTGGTCTGGCATGCAAAATCGTGGCCTTTTTTTCATTGTGTTTAAATGGGTGTCTCCTAAAGTTTAGAGCGAATCAATCAAACATTAAAGGTCCAGTGTTTAAGATTTAACTGAAAGGGAACTATTGGCAGGAATTGAATGTAGAATTTCATCTGTTGTATGAAGTGTAGTTTTCTTTACCTCATGTTTGGAGGGTGAGGGGAGGGGTATTCAGCTGCAACATGTAATTTCAACACAAGATGTCACAAAATTCTACACACTGTACTTTTAAGGTTTCAATACATTTTCGGTTACTTAACCTGCCCTAATTTGTATGTTAATGTGTGTTAAGCAGTTTGAGCCACGTCATCCAGATGACCCTTACATCTCAGTAGAGATGTACAATCTTGCCATCAGCCTCATCCAGAGCTTTGACGAGTTGGAGGGCAAGGATTCTCGGTAAAGCCTTGGTGACTTAGCACACAATACCAGGTCCCCTGTTTGTTCAGTCATGTGTTGAAATGTGTTTGTTAATGAGCAGCAAAGCTGACAAAGACAGTGGCTTGACTTCGTCTGAGAGAGGCAGTGTTCTGGTTTTCCTTCCTGGGTTACATGAGATAAGCTACATGCAGGAGGCTTTGGCCAAGCTTGTCCACAAAAGGTGATCTTTTAGTTAATCTGTTAATCTAAAGATCTTTTTATCTTTTTTCTACCTGGTGTCTTTTTAAGATGGTTAATGTAAGACATTTACCTTTTAACATTATGATGCACACACTTTGTTCAGATTGCAGGTTTATCCTCTTCACTCCTCTGTGACTCTGGAGGAGCAGAACGGTGTGTTTCTGCTTCCTGTCCCTGGATACAGGAAGGTGATAACAGCTAAACTTGTTCTCTCTCAAATGTGTCTTAAATACCTACTGTACTGATGATCCTTTCATTTTCACAGGTCATCCT